AAAAAATTAAATACAATTCCAGAACTGTCCGACACGCGGACGCGTCACGCGTCCGCGGAGAAACTTCGTGACTCGAAACATCGATAGTTCACAATAGCGTAAAAGCGACTTTTTCATTCACGAGATTTTTATTAATGTTTTTTCAGTATAGTTCGATAAAGTTATATACATGTCTTATGTATTATATATATATATAAGGCTTACTTAATTTTTTATTATTTGTCTTTTTTCAGAATTTGTCTGCATTTTTGGATGTTTTTCTCCATTTTCCCCATCATCTTCCAGACTACGTTCACATTCATATAAAATATATTTTTATTTTCATCGTCTTCTTTTTCAGCCAAGTCTTCACCACCCCCTTCATGTAGTCGAAACTATATCTGTTGACTTTCCGATTTTTCGTTGACCAACATTATATGTATAGTGACTTTTACAACGTCCTTTTAAAGACAGTAAACAAAAATTGATTTTTAATAAAATGGAACACTCGAAACTCAATATAATAAACTAATCGACCAATTTTCTAATCGAAGATAATGGAAAAAAATATACACGGCACACGCATGTATAAGCAGAATACTCTTTTACAAAATATCGCATAACAAACTATAATATACATTTTTGAAATAATTTGTAGATATTTATTTAAAGTCTTAATAAGTTAATAATTAGTTAATAATTAGTTTTAAATATATATATATACATACATAACTTCTATAATAGTTTTTAAAATATTATTCTGCTTTAGTTTTTCCAAGACAAACGACTAAACGAGATAATATAAAGGATAAGTAAAATGTACTACGCATATTGTGCTTTATAGATATATATACCAAAGATATTGATTCGAAAAAAGTTAATAAATTTCAAAATAATAAGTTTCCACTGCAGTTTAAAAATATCACACGACTCCTTCCGTGTATGCTATTCGAAATGTTTTCGAGGATAACACCACATTATAATTAACAGTTCAATAGATGGAATACATACTTGCGATAAAATGAGGAAATCGTTTGTTTAGACATCGATCACTATCTGAAATTATATCTTTCTGACCTACCTACGATTTGATAATTTATAGGCTGATTGTACCATATTTACACGATGAATTATATTACATATGATCACCCACACCAATTGTCATTGTCATGTTTATGGAAAATTCCAGAATATCTAAAAACGTGTATAATAATCTAACTTATTTGTAATTAATTTATTAAAATATCTACACAATTTTCATTTAGATTTTTAATTCGAAGTCCGAGAAAAGACTAACTTCAATACTTCATGATGGGGTATCGCGAGATGTATAAATCTATAGTAGGTATAGATTAAGTGATATGTGTTGTGCAATGCTTATAACAAGAGAACGGCGATTGAAATACGAAAAATTCGATTTTCACAACAAAGCAAAACGGTATAACCTCAGATTTTCGTGGAAGAGAAGTGGTAAATTGAAACTCTCCCAAGGGAAAACGAGTTGTCGCGATCGAGATTTGAGAAACTATAATTTAATATATTATTGTTGCGTATACACAGCTGAAAAAGCATAGGTGCATTAGCATAATATATTTTCAATTATTATTATTGTTATTATTACTACATTGTGTAATTTATGCACTGCGATCGGAATTTAATTTCGGCTTTGGAAAAAAGGTTCGAAATTAATGTTTATTTTTTTAATTCCTTGGTGTTATATCGAGCTGAATCGTTGCGACTTTTATGGTATGAAATACATGAAATAAAATCAGTAAAAAAGTATAGCATACCTTTCAACACAAAATTAATTTTTAAAAACCAATCGACATGATTTTTAAAAATCCGTTGGTTTTGTGGTGTTGGGGGAGGACTTCCTTAGTCCTTCGTTGTAGTTTCGTCCATTTCCTATTTGAATTGACGTGCGTATCAAAGACAAATATAGTGTGTCGGGGAGAGTGACCATGGTTAGGTTAGGTTAGGTTAGGTTACATGTGACACTCAATAATACAGTAGGTATACCTTACATAGTAGTGAATACATCGAATAATAATAATATTATTAATTATTTATACGATAAAAGAAAT